GCGTGTGTGTGTGTGTGTGTGTGTGTGTGAAGATGGGGTGGATGGTTGTGAAAACGTTAACAGAATGATCAGATAATATTTAACAATTATTAGGCTTAAAATAGTTCGTTCATCATGAAACGGTGATCACAAACCCCACAACTTACCGCAGATAGCAATTACAACTTTCCTTTCCTTAAGTGGAGAGCTTTACATCTCCCAAAACATATTATGAACAATATTATGTCTGACGATCAATAGCATGCAACAACAACAAAAATACAAAAAAACAAAAAAACAAAAACAAACAAACAAATACACCCCATAAACCAAAAAAACAACAACAAATAACACCCCAAAAACTAAAACTAAAACAAAACAACAACAACAAAGCAACAAAACAAAACAAACCAACAAGTAGGGTCTTTCTGGGGTGATCCAGCGGAAAGTGATGACCCGAATATCTATGAGCAGTATTATAGGTGAAGTAAATTCCAAAAGGCGAACTTGGGTTTTGTTTTACAAGTCAAAATAATATGATGTCTTATATATTTAGGGGGGGGGTCTCGTGGCTATATTGAGGTTGAAATGTTCGCCACTCATTCAAAGGTCCCGAGGTTTGAATCCGGGTAGCGACCGAAAAAAATTCTTCTCTAAAATTGTCTCCTTTCACCTCTTTTCCTGCTCTCTATCAATGTTCTGTCGTTTGGTTTCGTCTCCTCTTTCTGCCCCATCACCTCACCTCCTTTGCCCCCTCCTCTGGGCTCCTGATTCTTTCTGCAGCCTTTCTACTGCCACTCATTAGCTCCTTCTTACTGCTGTCTTTCAGCCACACCCCTAATCTTCAGATAGGAAAGATCTACACCTACCTTTTTGGACAAGGGCGAAAAATCTCGGAGGACCCGTGTGTAAGTTGCACACGTTAAAGATCCTTTGATGGTCTAAAATCGATAAGAGTAGGCTTCGGCCGCCACCCGGGCAAAATTGAAAATTTCCTACAAACTGAATAAGTTTACTTATGCAGTT